AGAATGCTCTGCAGCCACAAATGGTGGGAACAGTGGTCACTCCTCCTGCTGTTTTCACCCCTCTGTCTGGGTTTTCCAACGGACATGGCTCCAGAAAGGCAGCATGAGGTTCATGCCTCTATGCTGTCCCCCTCGTGCAGCGGGAAATCAGGTAGGTCTTTTCTTTTCTTGCCTCTTCCTGCTAGGTACTGCAAAGCAAGAGAGTGACACAGGAAAATCTGTGTTAATTCTACACAGGCCAATTTGTTGCACGCTGTTTTGGTTTGCTTTCATAGCTGCAGAAGGAATGTTGAGGAGAGTTGATGAGGAACAGCTCCTGATATCCCATTTTTCCGCTTGTATAAAAAAATACATTATGAAGAGGTCTCACAATATTCTGAAGACACAGGATTGTGTTCTAGCTTCTTGGTGTGCCATCCAGCATTTGAAACATCAGAGAAGAATTCAGAGTGGCCGTGGGGATTTTCTGCCCTTTCCTCTCTAGGAGGTGAGAGGAGAGAAGCAGGACTGGCTGAGACTGCTTACCGGGGTGTCCTGCTTTCTCTTTGCTGCCTGCAGGGAGGAGCAGCATCTGGCCTGGTACTGAGTCAGTCATTCTGTCTCAAATATGCAAGCCAGCACAGACGTGCAAAGCCACCTTAGGGCCTGTAATACAGGATCGGGACATATAGGCATCTAAAATTACATTGTCAGCTCGTGGGGGAATGCAAACCCAAAGATGTTAACCCAGGAGAGTACCCCTTCATCTTTGCCATCCCCACGCTCCCAAATTAGCTGAGCTGAGGGATCATAAACTGCCAAGTTCTACCAGTCATTTGCTGAAACTGCTCAAGGATGTAAGGGCAGACAGTTATCGGGAGTTAAAAACTAATCCTCTCAGGTCATCATCACTACTGTAAGGGGCAAAAACCCCATCTATTTTTCCAGTCCAGTAGTGTTTCTTATCAATGGAAGCAAAGTTTGTTTTGTAATAATGCTATGGGAAGGACATTATTGCATGCTAAGGGCAAAGTCTGGGGAATTTGAAAGCTTGGTTAAGCAATAGGAAAAAGATGATAATGAACAACCACTTATCAAGGCTCCGGTGAGATTAATCTGGACGTGTGCCCAAGGCACCGGTAACAAAATCAGTGTACACGTTTTAGCTAACGATCTGGAAGAGAAAACACAGGGTGCTTTGGCACAGTTTCTGTTGACATCAGGAACCTGGCTTTGTAAGGTCCTGATCAGGGGGCAGCAGGGGGAAGTGGAACATCTGCTTATCTCCTATGAAACCAGAACAGCTTTCAGCCGTGGGTAAACTCGCTGATGTCAGTGAACCTCTGACGCACTAGAAGCAGCCAGTCCCAGTACCTCCGGTGCTTTGCTGAATCAGGAGCCGGGTACACGGCCCCCGTCACTGGGTTTGTGCGGGGGAAGGAAAAAACCCCATATTTCAATGTTGGGCACCTTCTGGACCACAGGAGGTTGGCTGGAACTGACGGCCGGCAAGCAGCATGCTGCGGGGAGATGGCGTGCTGCACGCTGGGGCCACGTGCTCTGCACGGAGCTCCGCAACAAACCAGGCACATCCTGCCACGTCCGCGGCACGCCCGGCTCCCACGTGCAGTGTGCGTGTCTGCCGAGCCTGCCGTGGGTGAGCTATAGGGAGCAAATACCTATGTTCCTGCTTGGAAAAACCTGAAGGGAAACATGCTAGTCCTGTCTCTAGGGTCTGACGGAGAGGGAACCTGGATGGGGAAAAGAAAATGCAAAGTATGTTTGTTTTGTTTTCTGTAGTAGCTTACTGAAGCCCCCCCGTGTACTCATTTGTGGGTTGTTTCTCCCAACACACCTGACAAACCAGTCTGTGTTGGAGTGGTGTATTTCTGCAAAATGTTTAAAAAGTTTACACCATCTGATCCACTTCCCTGGCATTACAGGTGAAAAAACATCGTTAACAAGGTGGAACTCAGCAAACAAGGCCATCACTTGTAGATTTATTTAACCTCTCCTCTTTCAGGTAAAGTACCTGCATGTATTTCCAGTGCTTCTTAAAAATCAAGGGAGATGCAGGACACTCCCAGGCAAATCCAAGCCCACTAAAGCACCAGTTGTACACAACTGTTTTATCATGGTACAGTCTGTTCTGCCTGGTAACTACCATTCCCTTACAAGCCAGCTATTGAAAGCCAGTTGTCCCATTGCTTCAGGGCTTGAAGAGGACTTTCGTGTGGAAAAAGTTATTTGTTAAATAGAGACTTGATGATGGATGTCTTTTAGTTTTATGTAAAAAAAAAAAAAAAAATTGACGGTGAATTTTCATTCTTTGACAGCTGAACAGCAGACAGATATGCAGTAGAACATGCACTGATGAAGGAGTCTCATGTGTGAAGATAAATGCTATTCTCACTAGAAAGAATAAGGTGATGCACTCATTTTAGGTACTATGTAAACCCTCAGCAGATGCAACATTAAGTAGACCGTTATTTCAGTAAGCCTCTTACTGCTACACCTATTTGACACAGAAGGAAAATTGCTTTTCCCAACTCCATTTGGTAAGACTTAAAATAAAAAAGGGCCCTTACTTGCACTACACTTCTTGGAAGAAGAAAATAAAGATACTAGACAATCATGTAGAAGATTTTATTAAAAAATTATTTTAAAATTACATCCAAGTAAAAGGCTTAGAACTTCAGCTCTACTGTTCAGGAATAAAAAGTCAGTCAGTGTTGAAAAAGGTACACTTATTATCTATGTAGATAGCCCTTATGCAATTTTTACTACTACAGAGATGTCACATGGGTTCCTTAAATGCTATACGCACCTCTGTCTGCCTCATGAATGTGTTCTGCAGCTTCCCTCTGTGAGCTCCTGCCTGGAGAGGCTGCAGCCATGGTAGAGATGTATATACCACGAGATCGTAACTCCCGTTCAAGCATCACCAGGCACAGACGGAGGTGCTATTTGTGTTTACTTAACAACGACTACCTAGGTTATGTTTTTGTGACCTTGTATTCAATTAAAAAAAAAAAATCAGGAAATATTTAAGTACATTACGGCAGTGAAGGCAGCTTTTTCACACCTGTATATTCAAGACAAAGATATTTCCTTGTTATTGCCCATTCCATTCACTGACCTGAGCTCAGACACATCATATGGTGACCTTTGGTGACTGCAGCTTATTCACTGGGATAAAAAGAGCCTTGATGCAGTACTGAAGTCATCATACTCTGCAGTTATCACCAATACTTCTAAATTTAGTTTTTAAAAGAAATAACGCATAACAGCATATTATTTTAGTTTTGATTGAGAAATCTATCCCAACAGAACTTCTAGAACACAAAGGTAGTTTGAGATTTCTCTCATTCCTATTTAAAAAAAATATTTGATATTCACAGTAGAGTATGGAGTGGATTTCTGTCCAACAAATACATATCTGTTTTCTAAAACTGTCCTATGACTGAGCAGGATGCTTTAAATATTGTATTTTCAACTTCCTGCAAAGGATCCTACACACTTAAGATAATATGCTAGCTAGTAAAAAAAAAACCACAAAGGAGTTCAAGTAATATTGCACAGCCCTGATGAACTTTGACTGGCCAGTTTGGCAGTGTCCAATAGTTTAACTTCTGTCACTGAGTTTACCTTGCTTACTAGGGGGAAAACACACAAGGAAGATGGGAAGACGCTTATGAAGAAAGGACTATTTTCCAAACAACCCTCTCCCATTGGCACTGTTCCTGTGACAATTCCCCATTATAGTTTTTTTAGAAAACTATAGCTATTCTATAGTTTTCGGTGCTGTTCATACTTTGAAGCTTCCCCTGCACTGAACATTTCTTAGAATACAATTCTCCTTCCAACTCCACTCTTCCTGAAAACCTTTCAAACACACCTTCAGTGCCCATCACAACTTCCAAGGTGTACATTTCCCCCATACCTCTTTGAGCTAGTGTGGTCCAATACAAATGCGACAAAGATGATCGATAGGCAGATTTTGGTTTAGTGTACTGAGCCACTGATCTTCTAACAGCATGACAAAAGGAACCACAAGACCACGTTTTAAACATGCTGTTTCCCACGTCATGCTTACATAACACAGGTCACCAAAACCTTTCCATTCAACTTGCGTGTCTGACTTAAGTTCTTGGAAAATCCTAACCTTCTTGGCACATGCCTTCCAGAGTGCAGGGATGTAGACCAGATGTAGCCCAGATGCAGCCTAACCTTACAGCTGCTATAACCAAGTAGCTTTCCATTTCTTTCCAGCAGCTTTCTAAAACCACCCTGATTTCATTCTCAGTTACCCTATGCGCAGGAGCCTTACTTGGCTAGTTCTTCCACAAACAGCTTAACCTGAAAAAATCTAGCAATGTGACTCACAGAGCAAGGCATCACACAGATTCCTGTTACTGCAATACTTTTTTTTTTTTTTTAAATGGGACTTCCTTACATATGGAAAACATTTTCTCCCTACCTCCCAGTGTTCCCTCCCTCCAGGTCAGGCTGTATTTGAATGCTGTTATCTTGCTACAAGACTGCCATGCCAAGTGGATCTTTTCCAAATGCTATAAACACAGCTTTAAAGTACAGGTGTTCTCTATCTACCTGATAAGCTCCATAGTAAGATGAACCACTGATAACTATTCTAGGAGAAAAATATACACCAGCATAACTGACATTTATCAGTTTTCAGAATTCAAGCATTAAACAGGACTTAAATTGCACACCTCTACCACAGTCTTTGATCAAAAGGAAAAAAATAAATCTGATTTTCCTCTATAGACATCTCTTCTTTAAAAGACCTATGTCCTTCTATTTTCCTCATCCTGAAGTCCACAGCAAGGTTTCACATTCAGTGCATACAGCCTAGGCTATAACATCCTTATCTTCTCCCTCTTCTGCCAGTCCTGAAACTGAAGAATTTGCTTGTTTGGAGGCAGATGAATACTTCCAAACACTAGTCTTTTTTGAGAAGCCAGCTTGATCCCTTTGGGTGCCTGGATGCCAACTTCTCTTCAGAGAACTGCACTCTGCTTTGATACATTCTTTGGGTCCTTGCTGGGGACACACCAGTCATCCGCCTCAGAGGTAGCCTGGTAATGCTTGGAAGCCGATTTGTTAAAAACTGGGAGTTTTTCTACTGAATCTGTTGATAGGGCCTAAAAAGCAAGGAGGTAAAAAGTTACTTGGTTTCTACCTCTCTATAGTGCCACTTTTCAAAAATTCATGCAGTATATTTCAATAGACAAGCCAGTAACACTACAAAACAGTTATTTACACAAGTCTCTGTTTCTACAATAGATGCAGCAGCTTATGTGCTTTGGTATCTGTTTGCTTTGGATAATCTGGCAGGACAAATGCAGTAACATCAAATCATGCTTATATGTTTTATAGGCTTTAAGAGTTACTCTGTAACCAGCTTTCAAGATAGTCCTGGAAGCCATGGAAAAGAACTTTCATTTACACAATTCCAGAGCAACTTTAAAACATGTTCCTTTCCTACTTCCATCTTTTACAGCTAAAAAAAAAAATTAAAAATGATATTCTATCGGGACACTGTTAAATAGAAATGCAACACATATAGCTGAACCATCTCTTCCTTTTGTACTGCTTCTCTGGTTGTGCTTCAGCATGCTTGGAACTATGGTTTTGGTTTGTTAGAAGAAATTCGAAGCAAGTTTTTCCCATGAGTAAGCACAAAGAGTAGAGAAGAATATGTAGTCCTTTTTTCCAAGTTACTTATAAAAACGACCATGTGTGTTATGCACCAGGTGTTCAAGACTTGGTACCCAAATCCCATACATGGGCTATATGGTGGATGTCGGATGTCCAGGACCAGGTACTGGACTCCTTAAGGATTAGTTTATTCAGACTTTTTGGTTGTCAGAGTCAAGAAACAGCAGTAAAGAAACCAGACCTGTTTCTTTTACTTCTCTTCTCACAGCACTTTGTATTGCATGAACTAGTAGATAACAAATCTTAGTGCAATCTAAAAATTAATGGGGCTGTCATTAGCAGTTATTCAAGTAGGCTAGTTAAAGCCAAGTGACCTTTTAATTCTAGATACCAGTAACAAAAAACTTACTGGCATTTCTTACTAAAAAAAAAAAAAGCTTCTCTACTCATGAGCAGAGAATTTGTTACTCAATTGAATATTGAGTAGTTACTTCTCTGCATTAATGGTAGTTATCTTTTATTTAACCAAATCAAAATACATACCTTCAAGTAGATAATAGCATCTGTTCCATAACCACATATGGAATAGAGATTTAGATCTCCTTGGAAGTATTTAGCATACAGACGAGAAATTGGCAAGCCATACCCAAAGCCAGCCTAAAAAAAAATTACAAGACAATATTAATTTTTTTTTACTAGCCCTTATGACTTAAAATTAAATAGCTAGAAAGTGTTCAGAGATTTTTTAACTGTTACAAAGCCCTTTGCACTTCCTCTTCTCTTAAAAGAACACAGAAATCTCTAAATAGTTTCATACAGAATACTGAAACTGACCAGTAGAAAAAAAAATAATCAAAAGAAAGAAAAATCAAACACTTCTATGGAAGAGGGATTGTTATATATACATCTTAATTTTATGCATTACACTTCTGTATTTCCCTGCCCTGTGTTCGCTAGTACAGCTTGATTAGTAAAAGGATTGTGCTACTGGTAGATAAACAGTAGTCCAAGCCCATTCTAGTTGTGGTTGTCTCTGTAAAGATTGCACAATTTAGAGTAAGTTTGAGGACTGAGTGGGAGAGAAGGCCAAGTAAATTACTGTCACTGGAGTACAAGAAAAAAAATAGGGTCAGATTCAGACTGGAATCTTCTTTTATACCTTTAAAAGCGTATTTTTGTCCACTAGACTCAATATTAAACATCTGTTTCAGAAAGTGTTAATCCGTATTTATAAGTCTCAGTACTATTGGCATACCCCAGTAAGCAGTATGGTGGACATGGCGTTTTGTCATTTATCAACCTACCCATCTGTCCAAATCTTATAGCAGCTTTATTGGTAAGGTGGGTATTGAAAGTATCTTACAAGAGGGGTATTCCGACCATCATCCATCCTCGGCCTTGGTGCTGTGGAATACATGTAGCTAAACAGCTGCTCAATTTTCCTTACTGGAACACCACCACCTCTGTCTGAGATCTGAGTTAAGAGAAAATAAAGTTAACTACAGTCATTTAATAAGAATGGTGTTTAAAATGCTACTATTTAATCTAACTCTTCCAACAGTAGTAAATGCAAACATTTGTTTCACCATGTATTATTCTTCAGTTAGGAAACTGCTAAACGGGGGTTATCAACAGAAGGCTCATGCGTAGTATCTTTGATCTACTGTCAGAAGCTGCAAGTTCTAATATAAACTGCTGTAGCACACACAGTGATAAACATACATTAAGCCCATATTGTAGTAGGCGAACAAAATACCTTAATTGCCAGGTCTTCTTGTCCTAGAACAACTGTCACTTCAACTGGAGAGAGTGAAGGGCTGTTTTCTTGGAATTCAACGGTTGCCCTCATTGAATTCTACGGAAATGAAGGTTACCATGATCAGAAAGTGTTGGATCTATGCACTTAAATAATACCCCTGTTATGCAGATGCTGAGCACAGTTGCCCTCCATTCCTATCAGTGCCTAGCTTCCAAGGAAGGCACTCAGCAGTTTATCGTAACAGCAGCAGAGGAGGTCTTACACCTAAAAGTGACTAAACACAGCCAATACTCTTCCATGCTCGAAAGCTTCCACAGTTCTTGCCCAACATGTAACTCGGCCAATGCAAACTAAATAGCGTAACACCCCTAAAAGTCACCAGGTATCTGGAGAAGAGCAGAGTTCAGCAGTTGCTAAAGGCTGACGGAATTCTGCACCCCATGCTGGCAGCACTTTAGTTCAGCCCCACACACTGCTTCAAGATGTATCACCTACTCCACAGAAAAGGCACCGGGGACTGGTGCAGACTTCACCTGCACTACAGGTGAAGTCTCTACGAGCAGAAGGCTAGGGGTGGTCACAACCCCATAACCCACTTGTACTCTCTCCCTTACCCTGTCCCATCTACCACCACATGGAAGTGTCCAGATACCCTCCTACAAACTTCAATCATTCCTTTCCCAACTGCCAAAGCTATTTCTTCAAATAATGAAATTTTAGAAATCTCACTGTCCTATGCAAAGCTTTACTTCATTCAGATCTAGCTAGAGATTTAAGTGTTGACTCCAGTTCAGACTACTACAGGAAGAAACAGCTTATACTGACATACCTTGAAGAGCTCAAAAAGCATGTGAAAAAGATGAGATGGAACATATACAATGTTAATTGGCTCTCCTGGAAGTTTTCCTAGAGGAAGGGGAAAAAAACCCAAGCAACGTTTTAAAAGGTGATGGAATTTTTTTTTTTTTTTACAAATAAAATACATCAAGTCTCAGTTTGGGGTTTTTACCCCCAAGATGAGCAAACAATTTCATGCACTCCTAACAGTGTTTAGATTGTAATTACCACATGCTTAATAGCAGTTTATTTTCAAATAAACACAGTAAAAAAATAAAATCAAGTATTAATTCCATTTTATAAAGGATTTTAGAGGGTAAGGTGATTGCCTGAGATCAGACATATGCAGGCAGCTTGGACCAGAACCAGCAGTTCAGCCAGCAGCCCACTTCCTCACCCCAGATACAGAGCTCCTCTCTAGCAACTTGTTACTTTAAGCACAGGCTAGCCTCTCTTCTCTCAAATTCATGAACGTTACCTCAGAAAATCTAGTGTTTAAGATACAGTGACATCTGGGTTCTAACACAGGAGATAAATGAGGTGTTTACAACAGAAAATGAAGAGGAACTAGCCCAAGACGCATCAACTGATATGTACCATTATGGCTACAGAAACGGGAGCCTTTTGATTCAGCAAAAGCAGCTGTTTGGCTACTGACTGGAAGACAGACATAAAGCTCTCATCTTACCATTCACTTGAGTAAGTTTCAGTTCTGGAGATGTTAAGTAATACTGGTCACACAACATCTTGGAACTTTCAAAAGCATCTGAAATATTTATTTAAAATATATGAATTGTAATATCAAACGCTGCAGAAATTCATTCTAACGCATGGCAAAATATGATTTTTAACTGCATTAGCTGCAAAGGTGTTAGACTCTTAAGCCTGTGTTTCAAAGGAATGATAACATTTCATTCACTGTGTGCATTATGCACTGAGAATAAACGGGCAATTACAGCAGCATGGGCAAATTTTCAGTGCAATCTGGTAATTCTGTAGGTACGGCCAATCTCAACACCACAAACAACTTTAAGTGCTACCTCATCTATCACTTGCTAGGCCTTACTACAACACACTTTATACAGCTCCTCTGTATTTTAAAGTCTGTCCTATAAAGGCTTGTGTTAGATAAACTGCTTTCAGCTACTTCCATAAAATACAGTCAGCATTCTATACAGCACGTGTGGGTTGCCCAAACTGCTTCAAAGCACACAGAAATACTGATCATGAAGAGAAGTGTGAAGGATCAGAGGATACATACCATTCACTACTTCAACGACATCACAGCAAGGATCAATACTTCCAATGTGCCTTGGGTGCCCTGAGCCAGATTTATCATCAAAAAGCAGGGCTGTTTGAGAGGAAAACAATGCTTTAGTTAATCCCAAATACTGGATTATTAAAAAAGCCTTAAACTAATATAGTGGGATCACAACACATAATCACCTAAATACTGGGCGTTGTTTATGCCTTTTGAGTTAACAATAATATCCACTGCTAGCAAACTGCGTTGGCTTTTTAGTAGTTGAACATCTAAAGGCTTTTCAACTGTAAATCACGAGATCCCTGTATATTCCACACAATATTTACTGCAATTAGTCTGTAATCTAGAAAACAAGTTTTCCCATTACTTCCACAATTCATACACTCAGTTTCTAACATTCCAGTGTCACACAAAATCAACTGAAGCAGATCTCTTAACAGAAATGTTTACTGTAACATGTTTCTCATTAGGTTGAAAGTTTTCCTCAAAAATTTCTACTTACTGTGCTGGTTCATTAGCATCCGGGTGGAAATACGGCTCATGTAAAAACGATCCAAAAAATACTGAATGTTTTGATTGGTGACAGGATCTACTTTAAAAGTATCTTTATATTCAATTACTCCTTGCGCCATTGTAGGAACCACATCATGATGTCTGTTTCGGACTCTAATTAATGTATCTATAAAACTAGGCCAAAAAGAGATCTTTTTAGGATATTATTTAAGACTACATGGAAGCAAGCTTTGTACAATGCCATTAAACTAATCAAGCAGCAGCACAGGTGTGCATAACAATCTTAATATTAAAAAGATCCATTTTTTCCTTCTTTTAAAAGTATTTCCTCACTGACCTGAACCAAAAGTGTTTAGTATTTTTAATACAAAAGGTATAGTCATTAACCATGTCAAATTCACTGCCTGTTTACTCATTCATAATAGTTTGAGCAGAAGAGAATGTGAGGAAGGAAAAAAGACCCCTAGCTGACATCTTGGAAAGAAGCAGGGATGTGACATCACAGATAATTTTTGTTGACATTTCTGTCATGATAGTTCAAGGAGCTGTATGCCTTTGAAACCAAGCTGCAACAGGTCATATTTTTTTCAATATTGCTAAATATGATCAGAGATTTAAACCTATTTGCTCTATGCACAGCACTTCATGCTAGATGATCAAATTCAGCTCATGACAGCTCTCTTTCTAAACCTACTACATGCCTGAAAAATGGAACATGAGATCAAAAGCCCAATGAAACAAGTGAAAAGCTTACTCTGATAAGACTTTTTGGTCATCTGGGCTTTTCTGATGGAACTCAACCAGCTCCATTAGACTTTGGATGTACCTGTTCAAAAAGAACATAAGAAACATATGCTATTAATTTGATTTTTATTAGTCTAGGAACAGAAAGAATACTGTCTTGTCCAAATCATTACCTTTAACAAGACCACTAGAAGTTTGAAGTATCTCTGAAGTATGAATCTTCCATCCAAGTACGGAATCACAGATGGACAATTACTGACTGACTGAACTCTAGGAGTTTTAAGACTCTTTTCTTGTGCCTGACACTCAGAAAGGAATCTAAACCCTGACTTTCGGCATGTAGGATCTCCTTACAATTGTTGAGAAGAGAGGTGTTTCAAAAGAAGATCCAAATGTCAATACCGATCGGGAAGCCATCCAAGCAAAACTTTTCCAAATCTTATCAGCTTTGGCAGAAGCTAAGCACTTGAGCCTCTTTTGCTAGATCTAACAGCCTTGACGCATAACACAAAGGCACAACAGTTTGCTAGATTAAGAATGGTTTCTGGATCTCACTCTAATACTTTTGCCCTTTGTCAGCCAATCCTTGCAAAAGCTGCAGTAAAGCAAGGTTAAGTCAGCTTCAGCCACTCTGTCAACCACACAGATGACGTCAACTGAACTCCACTCAGCACACAGGCCAAGGCAATTTGCTATGGCACAGAAGCTCTGTTAGTAGTTCCATCAGAGCTCCAACAAGTATATAGCCTGCTCTTCCATTTTTCTGTAGCTGAGTGTTGTGAAAACAGAACATGTTCTCTTCTCTCCCCTCTTAAAAAGTAAGAGGCAAGATTTGCTCTACCAGCTACTCCAGGCTGTTAGTTTAGAAAACCCTCAACAATACAGCCTTGTTGTTTTCAGTTTAATTCTAGTATGCTAGAAAAGCAGAGTGTGCAACAGCTTGCAATTCAGCTTTGATGAAGGAACGGTATTTCCAGTGTATTCTGCTACTGTCTTCTATTCAAAAAAGTCCTGACAACCAAGTTACCAAAGCTGTGTTATTTTACAGGCTGAATCCAAGTTGTTCTTACTTACCAGCTCTTTACTAATTGTACTGATGGAGTGCCTAGTAGTTTGTCAGGAAGAAGTTCAATTTCTCTCAGTATGTTTGCAAACCTCACAGGAAGTTCTTGGCGCAAAAATGCAAAAGAAGTTCTCTCACAGCCATTAGTTGAGCCTATGAATAAATCCAAAAGAAAAACGGTGGCAAAAAGGTTCAAGAGACAGGTGCAATGTTCTGTCCTTCCACAGACTTCAGGAGGATATTCCTCTGCCGTCACCACGCTACTGCTGGCCGGTTCCCCTAAGCGCATGCTTGCGCTGAATGCTGTTTACATGGCAGCGAGACACAGCACGTTCCTGGGAGGAACACTTGTACATTTCCATGTAGACACGGGGTTTATTTGTAATCCCCTAGGAGCAGCGCTCCAGCCTTTGTAAACAGGGCTCCTTCAGGGTGACGTCTGAAAGCGGCCCGCGAGCGCCGCCCCCACAGCTGCCGAGGCG